GTCATGCCACAGAGCATCTCTTAAACCACAAACTGTTGATAGACTTGTGTTCCTCTTGGCTAAAACCTTGTGAAACACTTGCATAATTCACCCCAGTTGGCAAATGTGCAAAAAATGTCAATGTAATTGCTTCCAAGAAGCTGTCAGAATACACTTTTTGCACTCTTTTTACATATTGTTAGATTTAAATGTGTTAATTTAATTAAAAGAAGTAAATGGTCACATATTTAACTGTGTTTTTGCCACTAAACATTTTGAATGTGTTTAGAAACAATAGCTGTCTATCCAGATCATGTTGTATTCATTTTTAAATGGGGCAGAAGAAAATCACCAAATGCAAAAATATTGAGATATATGATTATTGTCAGAATTTGGAAAAATATTGAGACCAAATTTGAGGTATATTGCCCAGCCCTCCCAAATCTACCAAATTAGTATCTTATATATAGTTCCCTGCATATGTTGTGATGCTACAAAATAATACAAATGAAAAGACTGTGCTACAAAACATACATAGCAGACACAAACAGCGGACAATCTAATGTTGTTGGTTTTGTTGCCAAAGCCATTTTCATGAACATGTTGTACTTGTACAGAATAACAGTGATTGCTGTCTAAAAGCAGCACACTGAAGCTCAACGAACTGATTAAACAATATTGTGGAGATCCCGCTTTGTGTTAATGGCCAGAGAAGGCTAAACTTTACTTACTGCGGTGAGGTGTGAATTTGCTGGTAAACACTGTACACCTCTTGAATACTGCGTTCAACTTTTCTCTAAATTTAATGATAAAACAGGAAACAAAAAATGTGGAAGTGAATTAACCAAATAGAAAATGTGACAACAAGCCAAATGACATGCAGACAGAAAGATCCACTGTGGTCGATGCTGCTTGTGTATATGGGTGGCTGACATCACATCCTGTTCAGTGTGTCATGCAAAGACACAAAAATACCGCCTTATACATTCATTTCGAAAATCATAGTATGACTTAATTGTGCATACTGGAATGCCAAGTGCTTGAACTTTTCTAAAATTCAGAGCAATAACAGTCACGCTTTATTTTAAAAATGAAAAAACTGAAAATAATACAGTCTTTAAACGATTATATCGTTAATAATACTATACATTTTGTTTGCCAAGTTTAAATAAATAACCTCTCATGGTTAACTGTCAACCACCCATATAACAATGCAGGTCACACACTACAGTGCAACATAACATAAACCAGTGAAGTATGAGCAGATTCTCCAACGTTTGCAAACGTTCACTCAGTAATGAAAAGTCTGACATCATTTAGACACGTTCATGTTCTCCCTAACATCTCCTTTTTGTGTTCACAACATTGGGCCGAGTAAATGATGACAGAATTTCAATATTTGGTGAACTATCCCTTTAAATGAACCTATAGCTACTATTTACAAAAGTGTAATAAACTAGAGGAATAAGTACTAGGTGAGCTGGATGCAGTGGCATTAGTATAATTACATTCTGCACGTGCAGAACACCCTGCATGATTTTTGGTAAGCACTACTGTATCCCTCAGCAAAGTGATGAAGCACAGGAACAGAGTAAGTAGACAGTTAGCTTTGCGCTAATACCAATTAGCTAACTAATACTAAGAGTTAAGCTCACCTGTTCTTTCGAGGTCACCGTTTGCACGCCGTCATCGCTGAAAAGCTCAGAGGAGTGTGATTCACGAAAGCATCGCAGAGGAGGAGACGCCTCTTCCATGATGAGATTTGAAAACACATGCACTGTAATAGAAAGGAAGCAGTTTTCCAGCAGAGCAAGTGTCAAGACAGCGTGGGAGGGGTTTCCTCAATGGCGTCTTCTTCTTCGTCTTTAGTTTTTTGGCGCATAATAATCTAAATGTATAGCGCCACCTACAGTACGTTGCTACAGTACTATAAATGTATTTTATTAGCAGCCTACAATATCTTTATTAAACTCATATCCTAACAAGTACCCCAAATCCTTATTTACCTTTCCCTTTTTATTTAAGTATGTTATTAATTCCTTTCTTTCTTCGTCATATTTTTTACAATCGTATATTACATGCTCTACTGTTTCTTTTCCCCCACAATAATCACATAAACCATTCTCATATACTCCAGTAATAAATAGTGATGCATTCAGTCCTGTGTGTCCAAGTCTCATCCTTGTTATAATGACTTGTTCCCTCCTGTTTCTACCACTGTTTTGTTTATTATTAACATTGTTTTTATATTAAATAAATGCCTCCCCTTATTATCTGAATTCCATGTTTCTTGCCAATCCTTTAAAATATTTTCCATAATTATAGTTTTGACTTCACTTTTACTTAAAGCAACATTAACATCTACTTCTTGCTTTTTTAAAGCATCTTTTGCCAATTTATCAGCTGTTTCATTTCCCAATATGCCCACATGTGCTGGCACCCAGCAGAAACCGACCAATACACCTTTTCTTTGTACACGCCATAATAATGTAAATATTTCACGTAATAAGTCTTCTCTACATGAATGATGTGTGGACAAAGATGTTAACACAGAAGCAGAATCAGAGCATATCACTACTCTGTCTGGTCTTACCTCTTCAATCCACATCAATCCTATTATGATAGCGACCATTTCAATAGCATATATTGATAGCTTAGATGATACTCTTTTAGTTATTGATACATTCAAGTCCGGGATAAAAACTCCTATTCCTGCAAGCCCTATATTTGGGTCTTTTGATCCATCTGTATAAATATGCGTACTCGCATAAAATCTTTGCTGTAAATGTCTATTCACCATATATTTGATATTACCCATTTTCTCCCAGTCCCTTTTCTTGTCTAGTATTTCCAAATAAATTTTAACTTCAGGAATTAACCAAGCTGGTACCTCGCCCCATACTGGAGACATACTACATTCTATATTTGCAATCTGATATCTTTCTGCTAGTTGATTAATATTCCATCCAAAATCCTTCCCCTTTTCCTTTGTATATTCCCAACAATTATTCAATACATCTTTTGAAATATGTTCTCCAGCATGACTCTTCATTGATGCCCAATATACTAGGGACAATTTTACTCTACGTAAACTTAATAGCTTTTAATTTGCCTCTACTAATAGTGCATTGACTGGAGCTGTTTCAAGACAGCGTGGGAGGGGTTTCCTCAATGGAGTCAAGTGACTTACAGCTCAAGTACGGAAAGCCTGAAGGCACATTTGAGAAAGCAGTGTGCTGTGTCTCATTTAGAAGGCTGCGCCCTCCGGAGGTCGCATTCGAAGGCTGCATACGTCATCGAGACTGTCTCATTTCAGAAAAGCAAGTAGGACACTCCGAATGCGACCTTCTTTCACAGGAATTCGGAGGATGCATGGGGGTGTATCCTTCTGCAGTTCTTCTTCTCCTTCTTTTGGTTTTATGCCGGGTTGCGAACGTTCTGCAGTTCTTCTTCTTCTTCTTCTTTTGGTTTTATGGCGGGTTGCGAACTAGGGATGGGCGTATCGATCCGAAGTATCGATATATCGATACTGACGCGAGTACCGAAAGTATCGATACTCAAACAAAAATATCCATACTAAGGTGCGCTTTATTTACCAGTGGTTTTGTTTATTTAACAAAAAAATAATAATAATAATGCGTACAGTATGCATTGAATTGGACGAAAAACCTTTGTCAGCGAGTAATTGTGTAGGATAGAACTATTTTCCTGCTTATCTGAACACACGCAAATGTTGCAAGACAGAACCAATCAATCACAGAGAGCATTCACTCACTGCTGACAGTGCATTCAAACAGCGTTTCCCAAAAGTATCATAAGAAAGCATTAAAGCTTTTGGGAACGGCAGCCCTGAACAATGCTCATCAGAGGACAGAAATAAAAACATAAATGTTTGAGTTATTTCACAATAAACAAATTGAAATTAGCCTACATAGTTTGTGCAATTACACCCTTTTTTTAAAAATTTTTTTATAGCCTTTGTGCACAGCCAGCCTTGTACTCTTCTAGGTTAAAAAAAAACTGTCGTCCATAAAATGCGTTGCACAAATTCGAACATCTGGGTTGTGCTGTTCTGTTGTAAATAAATCTTAACCAATGATTCCTAATTGCATCTACTTCTGGAAGGCCAAATAAAGTGCTTTTGCTTTTGCACTGAAACACACAGCGTCTCCCTGACATGCTGCTTCTACACTAACTGCGGTTACTGAAACCACGCGTTCTTTCTTTGCGTGAACATTTGGGTGGCATTATGCAAATATTTCCATATAGTGTGGTAGATATGTGGGGGCGTGTTAGAATGAGCCGTTTTAGGGGGGCGTGGCAGAGTCTTAACTTTGATAAAGAATATCTCTTTGGTTTTGAGACTTTAGTCTTTGCAACTTCAGGGATCTTATCTATGCACAATCAGCTTGTAACACTCCAAAGAGAAAGGAAAACTTGAAATCGCATCATATGACCCCTTTAAATTCCTTGTGTTCTAGTTTTGTCCATGATTCAGTTCAAACAATTATTTAGAAGCTAAATATCATTTGTGTTTACAATAAACAATACTGAAAGTCACTTACATATTTTGAATGAAAACACGTTACACGTTGTGATAAAATTCTACATAGCCTATTAAAGCCATGTCGGACGTGTCTCAAATGACAGTCCTCGGTTCAAGTGATTCAAGAAGGATTTAATTCGATTCGTGAACAAATCGTTCAGTCCGGTTCATCGAAAAGATTCGACTCAAAAGAATGATTCGGTGACGAATCGGGCATCGCTAAATATAACAAATATCATCCCCTTGTTTTTTTTTTTTTTTCTTCTTCTTCTTTTGTTGTAAAATGATCCGCTATGAATTTATGACGGTATAAAAGGCTGATGTTGCAGATTTAATTTGTTTGATGCCCCAATTTCTATATATATATTTTGACAATATTAGACTGTAAACATGTTTTATCCACGCAGTCCTGGTATATATAAAAATTAATCTAGGTCAGTATCAGTATCAAAATCGTGATGCTGTGTGCCCGTAATCTCCACCCATTTCCTGAGGTGTGAAGGATGTCGGCGAAACGCACGGAGAGCGTTCTGTAACCCACCGCACCCACCACCACAGCAGCAGCGTTTCTGACTGATTTCTGCTCACATCGACTCCTGCTTCATCTACACAGTCTTTCGGGGAATCGGCACGTAAGCACGGACCGGTCGATGGAAAAAGCGAGAAGATGATAATGTGAAGAGGGTGGACATGGAAACCCGACGCTGAGTTCCTTTAATTGTGACCATAAGACACCATGGCCAAACAGTATGATGTGCTGTTTAGACTCCTGCTTCTCGGAGACTCCGGTGTTGGCAAAACCTGTTTATTATGCAGATTCACGGACAATGAATTTCATCCCTCTCACATTTCCACCATCGGTAAGAGTGTTACTTTAATGCATCCGTTCAAAGAGTTGCAGAACAAACAGCACATACCGATAAGAAAACCCATAGCAGCGCTGGGCCATTATAGTCTATGAGCCGTGAAAAGAATGGCTTGAGAATTACAACACACGGTGAGATGCATTCACACAACCTCTTCTAGTTCTTTCTGAGATGCCTGACTGTATCTTTGTGTGAAGTCTTAAAATGTAGCATTTTTACACAACTGTCACAAACCCTGTAGTGTTTGTTTTAGATCGTTCTTATAGATAATAAAATGCAGTAACCTAAATGAATATAAAATCATAGGTTGCATGAATGGCAGTGCACACAGAAAGGGCAGGTGTGTTATTGCATGCATTCTCACTAAAATATTGATGCATAAAAGTGTCCTGTCAGCCATTCCAACTCATACATGCTGTTCTATGCAAGTTCTACAATATTGATATGAAATGGAATCAGCTTGAACTAAATCGAAAGTTTTGGTCTCAGCTGTGAGAAATATGGAAAGATTTTTATTGCAATCTCTAAAACTGTTTTCTATAAAAGGACTATTTTATCACTGTACGCTTTCAAGAATTCCCAGCATAGGGATCATTTTTATTTTGGCTTATTGGATGTTATGAAAAACAAAATTTGGTTCTAAAAAGGCTTTTCATAAACCTCTCATTTTGGTGTTCATGTAATGCTTGGTCTAGTGGGGCATTTTCCCATTGGGCTGACATTATGTCCTGACAACAGCCAATTTACTCACTCGAAGAGGATGAACAGAGAGATTATTTTACAACAGTTTCCAGAAATATATAATTTTATATTTTTCATTTGCAATATGCATAAGGACACTTAATTATTTTTTAACTACAAACCCACTCTTAATACTTCACTTATACTTCATATTTTGTGATGCTTATCATGTATAAAGGTAAACTAGATGCTTCTTTATGTATAAAGGTCTTTTAAAAGGATAGTTTGCCTAAAAATGAAAAATAAATGGTCACTGTTTACTTGCCTTTCCAAACCTTTTTGCTGCTATGGAAACTGTAAAAGTAGCTATATCTAGCAAAATGTCTTAGCCGCTCTTTTCCTTACAATGAACATGAATGATGATACAAATTTCATTGTATGGAAACTAGCAGCTTGGACATTTTGCTAAATATCTAAGTTTGTGTTCCACAGAAGGAAGAAAGTCAAATGGGTTTGGAATGATATGAGGGTGAGTAAATAATGATTCAGTTGTTATTTTTGTGTGATCTGTGAAATCCATGTCATTCTGTAAAATCTTCTTTTTATGATCGAAAAAATGTATGTTTTAAAAGATGTGAGGGTGAATAAATGCTGTCAAAATTCACATTTTGGCCAAACTATTTCTTTAATGAAGCATTTGAAATGCTGAACTCATACCAAAAATGTTATCCCTCAATTAAATCACATGCTTCATTTTGCAAAAGTTCAGGGTATGCTCTGTTGTGTAGCTCTTTCTGTTTTTCCAGGGGAGCGAATAATATCAAGTGGCTTACTCTTGAAATCAGGCATAAGATTCATAACACCCTCCTATTGTTCCTGATGATGATATCCCCCAAATCAATAAGGAATCAGAGGCCCTGACTCATTCCTGCAGCCTGCTGTCTGTCTCGCTACTGTTTATTTAATATGCTGGGATGGATCTCTTTTGGTTAAGTAGTGATGTGATACAGAACAATCTTTAACTGCAGGAGATAAAAGCTTTAGTCTGACTGGTCCTGAGAGATGGCCGGTGTCTTGCTCTAAAACATGGTTCAATAAGCTGTAGTCCGCAGGGCAATGACCCATATATATTATGATACTAGGCTGTCAAGGTCCTTTGCGCTGTACTGAGACATTATTCACAGTGGAAGAGTGTGGTCTGCAAGTTAATTTGAAGCATTAGCAAATGGTTCTTAGATGTTATCTATTTGCCTCGAGGCAACATGCTGTTATGCTAAATTATAGAAAGCAGCTGTTGATTGATTAGTTTGAGGATAACAAATTAAACGATATGAGCTTAATTTCTGTTTCATTGCTTTCTATAGTCAATTGTTTATGATGCTGTCAACACTAGAGAAATTGGACTTGTGTTTAAATTTGTATGTGCTAATCACCATAGCATATCTGTCTGTTGTCTTGTTAGAATTATTTCCATTTCCAATTAGCCACTGTCTCAGAAGGAAAGTGTCAAAGTGATGATTCAATTGTTACAGCTCTGGCACATTATGACAAGTTCAATACTTATTACTGTCTGTCAAATGGCCATTCATTTAAAGGTATGCTTTAATTGTCTTTATATTTTTGGGGCTCAGAAACATTACAGTATCAGAGGTATAAAGTATTTCACTACAATGCTTTAATATTTTTGGGGGAAGTTATAATTTACTTGAGTTCTGTTAAATCCAAATAATGGTACTTTTTTTCATCAGGGGGTTTTTACACGACACCAACATCAACTAAAAACAGAAAACGTTATATGTGTTTTGGCCTTTCATTTATACAACAACTGCATTTTGAGAGCTTGAATACAAATTTTGAAAACGGATTTCAAAGTGCAAGTTTTTGAAAACTATTCCATTATCGTCTCAGTGAAAACTATAAAAACGTGAATTTGTTTTCGTTTTCAGACTATAGATATGTGTGCAGGCGTCTGGTGTTTCTTCACAAAGCAACATTGCCAACTACTGGCCTGGGATGCATAGTACAGCATCTTTAGTCGTTTTCGCTAGTCCTTGTGATTGGGGATTGTTTTGACAACATTGTCGTTTTCAAAAACCAAAAGGTAAAACATATCCATTTTTAGTACATCATTGTCAAGTAAATCCTTAAGTTACATTTACAAAGTAGAGAAATGCTTTTTACTCCTTAAAGTATTTTTATGCAGACTTAAAAGTACAACTTAAATAAAAGACAAGAGTGATTTAAATGATGTCAAAATGTTCATTTTTGGGTGAACTATCTCTTTTAGACACAGACTTTGAACTATAGTAGCCTAATGCCGTTTTTATGATAACCATTGCTTAGATGGATGAGTCAAGTGTGAACACTGTTCAGTCTTGATTTTAGTCTAAAAATCACTATATTCTAATTAGTGGTCGACCGATATATCGGCCGATATTTGGCATTTTTCAAATATCGGCATTGGCCGATAAGTTTTTCCTGTCTGGCCGATGCGTTCGAGGCTGGACTTTTATTTTGACGGCGCTGAGAACGGCAGCGCCTGAGCACACAGTGCTCACATTCTCCCTCTTGTTTGCTGTCGTCGTTAACAGTTCTGTCTAATACGGATAGAAGTCTGTCTAATAATCAGATAGAACGGTTAAACAAAGGAATTAAAATGTATACAAAAAAGTATTATAACGATTGCTTTTATAATATTAGTAATAGAAAAGCAACCATTATAATACTTTCTCGTTTGCCTTCAGCATTCAGCAAATACGCATTTATATCATTTAAACAAATCTTTGAATGTCTAATGAACATTTAATTTCACAAAGCTTGCAAACTTAGTCAAATCTAGTTGAGATCTTGTGAAGTGTGCATTTGTATCCTGCATGATCGCGTATGCTCTACGTGTGACGGTCGGTCCGTGTGAATTGAATGCGGACAGAAAGAGAGTTCAGCCTCGCTGGAGATGCGCAATCGTCAAACTTTAAACTCTTGATTTCAAATTATGCTGCGCTTTATCCATTTGCCCACTGTCATATTCATGTCATTTTCACTGTGTGCTGTATGTAAAATGACTGATACCTTGGCTTTATTTGAAAAAATATGATTCCCAATGCACACAAACTTCCCAGATTAGTGCCCTGTTGGTTACAATGTTTACTTTTTATGAAATATTTATTTATTTTTGAAAAATACTTTGTCATCTAAAGTATAAGTATGTTTATTTTAATCCATTTTCAAATGATTTCAAATTTCTTAAATATGAATTAAAATAAATAAAATTATATTGGCTTTATATCGGCCATCGGCCACCCTGCTTTCCAAGATATCGGCATCGGCTGTCAAAAAAACTATATCGGTCGACCACTAATTCTAATGTCAGTAATCTACTGAAAATATTCAGGTAACAGGTTTCAGGATATTTGTTTATTTTAGCTTCTGCTTTATGACTTTTACACAGTCAGAACAATGAGAAAATAGTAATTTTTGGCATGTTCCTTTTTTTGCATAAAAAATACTAAAATTAGAAAATCTCTTAAAGGGGTGGTTGATTGCGATTTCACTTTTTTAACGTTAGTTAGTGTGTAATGTTGCTATTTGAGCATAAACAATATCTGCAAAGTTACGAAGCTGAAAGTTCAATGCAAACGGAGATATCGTCTTTTAAAATTCTGGCAGTTTAATGCCTACAAAAACGGCTGGTAGGGACTACAACGAGTTACTTCCCGGGTTCGTGACATCACAAACCCAGATAAACCCCGCCCTCGGGAAAAGGCAGCAAAGAGGGCGAGTGCTGCGCTGCTTTAGAGAAGAGGAAGAGAAAACTAGAGGTGCACGTAAAAATCTATTCATATATGAATTGCGATTCTGTCTTCTAACGATTCTAATGGATTCACAAGTTTCAAAATCAATGTTCTAAAGCAGCGGTTCTCAATCCTGTTCCTTGCGTTCTCCTGCTCTCTCTCTCTCTCTCATTCAGATCAAATAATGAACCGTTCCAATTATACACTTATTTTCACATAGCTATGAGAAGCGTTAAACATGGATGTGCATGCGGTTGCCGTACTGTATTAAAGCTTTAATCAGGATAAAACCGTATATTAAAAGCTAACATAAGCAGTAGCATTTACAAATAACAGCATATCTAAAAGTATGAGACAACAACAAACAAAAAACATAGGCCTACCATTCATTATTTTTTTGGTTTATGTCACACTAGCTGAAATGGGATGTTAGCAATAGTTTTTGAATGATGATGATACTGTGGAAATGTGCTGTTCACAGTCAGCCATGATTAATTTATTCTGTGAGCTTAAGTTTCCAATAACAGGGGGTTACCAAGGTACAGTGAATAGCTTGTCATGTGATCCAACATGGCCGCTACAATAAAGGGACATACTTTATGTAAAACAAAACAGGTTTTAATAGGCTATTTAACTGGTTTCCAATTTCACTGGTGTTTTCATCTCATGTGAGTTCATCTCATTATTTGCATCACTTTATGAGAGGTTGGTTTGGTTTCTCTTTTATTTTGTAGTATTTCACAGCATTGTTGTTGTAGTCCTTTCACTGCTGAGATTCTGGAAGAGAGGATGGGAAGGGCAGCTCTTTCATTATTTTACTTTCCCCAGGACAACCAGTTCAGTGGCGGTAGTGTTGACCTTTCTCGGGGCACTAACACTACTGCTTTATTTAATGCAGTTTAAGAGAGGAGGCTATAGAGCTCTGTGGATGGCATTCAACTGTATTCAAGATGATACTCGTGTCTTATTTTAGTATTTCTTGTGCTTGCATGTTCTTGTGCTTGGCATGCCATCTGCTTGCAGACACTGAATTGAATCCTTTGAAAAAAAATGTTTGATATGAAGGCCTCTATACAAACTGCCTAAGTTCTCTCTCTAACTAAGAAATTTGGTAATTAATCTTTTTTTTTAATCACATTGCTGCCAGGGCATGTTAAAAATAACAGAGACTCCCGACTATTGTTGTTTTGGAGTAATAATTGTTATTGAGAATGAAACTTCCTAGAAAAAAACAACTCTTCCGGGAGCTGGAATGTCTTGCAGTGGACCTTATTGACAGATACCCATTTATTATTGCAGTTTTGCTGTGGCTTTATTTTCTTGCCTGCCTCAGGTTTAAAAGAGAGGTGTTTTCTTTCAGGGCTCAAGATCTCGTTATGGTTTCACACCTTACAAGAACACGTCATTCTTACTACGCAGTACACTTTCATGTTCACTTCATATGTATCTAAAGAAATTGCATAAAATATTAAACTCCGAATTCTTAATGAATTCTGATGTTTTTTTAAATTAGGTGAACAGAGATCAAGTATTAACAATTAATTTGATTAATTCTGTGCTGTTTTGTGGTATTTATCTTACTCCTGTTTGATAAAATGTCAAATATAAAAATATATATTTAAAAAACTACTTCAAATTTACATTTCCATGTAAACTATTTCCTTATTTCCACCCTTTTAGGTTCTGTGCTGTAAATTTTATTGCCAGTGATGCAATGAATAAATTTCACAAGTTCTTAAGCTTGACCTAAGCATATTTCTAGACAAAAAAATACCCTTTTATAGAAATATTTATTAAATTGCAACACAAACATATTTATTTTTCGAAATGTCTCTCTGTTATTCGTCACCATTTTTGCTTCTTTCTTCTTATTCTTATTCTTTATTACTTCACTGCCTTTTTATGAGTCTGATTTGAACGGTTCAGTAAACGTCATGAGAGCACTGATTATACTGAAAGATTTCATTTAGATCTGGCTTAGAGCCTGAAGATGATTTAACAGATGAGTTGTGTCGGTATGAGGACAAAGAGTGCTTATTTTATTTTCAAATTATTGAAAATAATGAGTGAGTCACTCATTTAGTGAGTCACGCTAAACATCTTTTGATACTTTTTGCACTTATTGACATATTGTGCGGGATTTGTTTTCTTTATCCTTTAGTTTTGATCTTTTTGGTCTTTGTCTCCTACGCACCTATCAATTGCCATCAGGTGTGCGGAGATTGATTGTTCATTTATTTTCTAATTATTTGAAATCATTGTGAAATGTTTTTCTTTTTTACCCCAGGTGTCGATTTCAAAATGAAGACTTTGGAGATAGATGGCATTAAAGTACGAATACAGATATGGTATGTTTTATTTTTCTGTGATGATATAACAGTGTTTGATCCACTGGTTCTGCTAATCAGATGTGTGTATGTATGCAGGGACACAGCAGGTCAGGAGAGATATCAGACCATCACTAAGCAGTACTACAGAAGAGCACAGGTGATCTTCACACATCTCACTGACTCATGCACCGATCTAATAATGGAGTCAGATCTAATACAGATACCTGTTGTGTGATAATTCACTGATAAAGGCACATTATTATGTATGGGTGGAATGAAATGGATTCTGTATCAACAGGGCATTTTTCTGGTGTATGACATCACAAGCGAGCGCTCGTTCCAGCACATCATGAAGTGGGCCAGTGATGTAGATGAGGTGAGGCTGTGGAGTTTAAAGCATATCCGTCTTACTGTAACTAAATATAACCTGCTTCTTCTTAATGTCTCATCATTTAAATTCCACCGCCCCTCTTTCTCTCTTTAACTCTGGGGTTACAGCAGTTAGAGGCTGCTCTGCAAATCTGGGATTTAAAATTGAATTGAATTAACAGAAATGGAACGTTTTGGGATTTAGGAAAAAGTAAAACATAGAAACATTATGATGTAAAAATACATTTTGCACTTATTTCTGGGACACTAAGCAAGTTTGTTACTTTTTACTAATTTTTACAAAGCACCAAAACATTTGTATTTCTTTAATAATATTAATAATTTCCCTTATTTTGCCTTTTTCATGTTACAGTTAAGTTTATATATTATTATCACAAATAAAACACTGAAAATACAAAAAAAAAAAAAGAAAAAAAAATTGAATCTCAAATATTCATTGTGGACTTTTGGACCCCACTGTATTATTCGTATATTACGTTTAAAACTTGGCCCCATGTTTTCCCACAAGAGGACAAAAGAAAACTGGATGAAAACACAGAAAGTGTACCAAAGCAATATTGCTTCTGTTAAAGGAATCCTATGTCTCATATAATATTTGTCTGTTTCTGCTCAGCTCCATCCATTTGCCTCTATTGAGTCTCTCCTCTCGTCTGTTCTGTTTCTGCTCAGTATGCCCCTGAGAAAGTGCAGAAGATACTTGTTGGGAACAAGTCTGATGAAGAACAGAAGAGACAAGTAGCTACAGAACAGGGAAATAAGGTAAATAAATAATATTTCCCTCCCGTGCACTGCATCTTTCATTCATACTGCTACTTACTCCACATTTACTCTGTCATCTGACAAATCTTATATCTAATGTCTGAGGTTAAAGACTTTCTTCAGACATCTTAATCTTCTTTTTTGCTCTAGCTTGCCGAGGCTTATGGAATGGATTTTTTTGAGACAAGTGCCTTTACCAACCACAACATTACAGAGGTGCAATTTTGTATTTTTTCTTCTTCTCATTATTTCTGTATTTTATGTTGTTTCTTCTTAAATATTTGAGGAATGGTGAAGCCATGCAACCATGTGATCCTTTTGGTCGCAAATTTTTATTATCTACAGTTAATCGGGTTTTTATCTTTCCTTCATTACAGTCTTTCACCCGATTGGCTGAATTAGTTTTACAAGCCAATAAGAAGGATCTTGATTTGTTGGGAGGATCCATGAATGATGAGTTCAATCTGGCTGTTTTGGAGGAGCAGGAAGGATTGTGTAATGTTAGCGATGACACCCGCAAGTCCTGCTGGTGCTGAGGACAGGAAGTGACATGACTACTTTTTCAGTTGATTTCCATATTTTTGTTGCATTTACATTTTGAATATCACTTTGCAAAATTGACAGTTATTGTTAAACAGTGTTTGGTGCCTTTAATGGCTTATTTCTTATTCATTATTTATTTTATAGTTACTATAAATTAAGATGGAACATTACAGAATATCGTATATGTATATAAAGATTCTTTTTAAGTTTTTTTCCTCATTCTGAAAAACAAGATCAAAAGGCCACTGCAGTGCAGTTGTACATTATTTAGTTATGCTCATTCAAGCCACACATTCAGAGTCAGTCATACGTTATATAAAATACAAGTTGATTAAAGTGTAAGGCAGCATTGACAAAATGGTTTATTCAAAGGAATAGTTCAATCAAAAATGAAAATGTCCTGAATATTTACACACTCTCAGGCTATCCAATATGTAGATGAGTTTGTTTCTTCATCATAAGAGGAGAAATCTAGCACTACTTTTTACTTTTAATTTAGCATCACTTGCTCACCAATGGATCCTCTGCAGTGAATGGGTGCCATCAGAATGAGCTGATAATATATCCAAACAGCTGATAAAAACATCACAATAATCCACAAGTAATCAACACAACTCCAGTCTTTGTGTAGTGAAAAGTTGTGTGTTTGTAAGAAACAAATCCATCAAGGCATTTTAAGTTTAAACTAAAGTTCCATAATCCATACTAAAAGTCCATCTGCTATTGTCTTCTCACAACAAAATACACCAACACATTTGTTTTTCTCTTGTAAACAGTGCTTGATCTGTGCATATTTCTCTCCTGATTTAGATAAAGCAATATTATGGATATTGTCTTAATGATGATTTGTTTATTACAAACATAGCTTTCCACTTTACAAGATGTTAATTGGTGGACTAGAGTCATGTGGATTATTATGATGCTTTTAATCAGCTGTTTAAACTCTCATTCTGACGGCACCCATTCACTGCAAAGGATCCTTGGTGAACAAGTGATGTACTGCTAAATTTCTCCAAATCTATTCCGATTAAAAAAACAAACTTGTCTACACCTTGAAAGACACGAGTGTGAATACATTTTAAGCAAATTGTCATTTTTGGGTGAACTATTCCTGGTTGTATGGCTGGAGTGCCAATGCTAACATATTCTTCTTTCTTGTGTTTTGCTATGGGACTTCATGTGAATATTATTCAGATCTGATTTGACTTTCTATAAAATTCTTGAATACTAAAACCTTGAATGCACCTACTTGACCAATGATTGCTCTCTTTCAAGGTAATAAATGTATTCTTGATACTGATGAAGCTTCACACGTCACTGTAACAATCTAAGCTTCTTTTCTGTAAAAGCACTGTAAAAAATACTGTCACTAAACATGCTGCTTACCAGTTCTGGTCCACTGTGATTGTAAATGAATGCAAGGATTTTTATCTCATTAATCTGAGGTCACTCACTAATTTACTCACATAGTATCATTTAATGTGGTATTTTATACCAATATTACATCAAGCTCTCTTTTTCCATCAATAATCACTATTTAGCTGATTAGAATAGTTAGAATGTTTCAACTTTTACTCTATAAATGATTCTGGAGTTGATGTGGTTTAATTTCATCACAGCACACCGAATAATGTTTTTTCCTGCTTAAATCAATATCTTACCCATACAAACTTGAGTGAAATGTATATGCTGCAATGACATGGGTTGTATTGCTAAAGATTCAATGTATATTACACTATTGCAGCATTTATATGTGCAAGTGGTATTGTACTATGTTGATTTAAATGAACTCTTGAATAATGCTTATATGTTTACCGGTTGTTTCATGAAATATGTCCATGAAAAAATCTGAGAAATTTAAATGTGTATGTGGTTATTTATATATAAACTGTAATATTGTGATTCTGTTTAGGGGGTGTCGAAGAGTTATGAATAAACATCTAATTATGAAAAGGGTTTTTTATTATTATAATAAGGAATTTGGAAATCAAATACTCTGTAAGTGCAACACCACAAGTCAACACTAGGAGGCAGATTTGCAAAGCTGAAATCCGTGTGCTGAAACGTAGTTAATAGTTATGCATGATAAAACACACTGGCGGGGGAAAAAACTGGGGACGAAGAATATGTTTGCGGTTTTACGTAATGCTCAGAACTGGGAAATTATCCTGAAGCATTTGTGAAGTATTTTAATATTGAGGTCAGTTCATTTGCTCAATTTTGTCAAGGTCTCGAATGTTTTTTTTTCTCAGAACAAGAATTTGTGCCTTGATGCTACTGATTATTAATGGTACTTTAAAAGTACTCTGAAACAAAATATTCTGCTTGTGCATTTTGTAGCAAAGCAGATCTCTCTTTCAAGGCCGTACACAACTGGATGAAGTTTTGACGGAGAAAGCACTGTACTTTCTAAGCAAATAAGCAAATTTTATGGTACATGCTCATGTTTGCAGCTAGTTTGTAAGCAAGTAATACACATAGATGGATACAACGATTAGGCCTACAGTGCAATTACACAATAAAATGTTACAGTGTTACTAAATGTTACAGTCAAACTACATTCCCTACAAACTCTTTCTTCTGTGGAAGACACAAGATATTTTGTAAAATGTTTAATGTATTGGTAACACTTTACAAAGGCTACAAGGCTACTTCTAAAGCATTTATTAATCTTAGTTAAAGTAAATTTCGTCATTTATAATATTTAAATCAAAAACTGTATTTTTTATATTGTTTAATGGACCTGAGCTAAGATGAACTAACCAAGTGTCCATACTATGAAAGTAACTTTAATGGCATGGGCCGAATATTGTGCTCTAGAAGAAAGTAAGTCATATAGGCTTGGAAATACAGGAGGGTGAATAAATAATGACAGAATTTCATTTTTGAGGGAACTATATCTATGTGCAAAAGGCAATATTTTTTTTATGATACCCCACACTCTCAAATGACAAACATTTATCTTCATTAATATTATTGGAATGCTCTAAGCATGTTTGGCTCACATGAACGCACAAATGTTTCGTATTCTACTAAAAGGCTCATTGATTTGCCTAATTCTGCTGTTTGCCTTTTACCCAAATACTTCATTTAAATGTGCATTGTGTGTGTGGATGCATTTGTAAGGCTTGTTAGTACATCTATTCAGGTGTCACAATGTGTTCTCTTGACGATGGCTCTAATATTATGTGTCATCTCTGAGAGAGTGTGGGCCAAGTGAAAGAACTCCATGTAGTGCTAATGAAATGAACTCAAGGACCCCCACACATGATGAAGATGTTAAAAAATGAAGGGCTAACCTAGATAATGACGGTTATCGTGTAAGAGTCTAGAGATTACATGAGAACACATTTGACTCCCATTTTGAGCAGAACTTTAATCCAGTGACTGTCATTAGTCTCACTTTTGATTTAAACAAGATTGAATCTTTTTTCTTTATCCCCATTGTTAGCATTCTGAGGTTTGGATCCGGGATCAAGCTGATTTGGAAAGAAAGGGAGAGCTTTAAAAACAGCCCTTAGCTCCCTTCAGTTTTCCTTTCCTAGATAATCCTGTCATGCCATAACCAAATACTTCCATGCAATTGGCTCTCACCTATCCTCATTTAATCATTGATTTGCTCAGAACAAAAACTTGCCAGGCATTGAGAGAAATAAACCAATACATCCTTAGGAGAGAGAGAGAAACAAGATGTGCTTTAGTATTATTTTTGGGGTGTGTGCGCATGCAGCGGGGGCGTTTGGTGAGGAGAGGGGGGGTCCAGCTTCAGGACACTTCTGCTAAGCACTGTGTTGTCATCCTCCCACCTCGCCACACTGTGCTTTCACACCAGAGTGAGTCACGCTGGCTCTCTGAGCTTTGGAGGTGCGCAATGTGGAATGCTAAGCACCCTGAGAGAACTTCACAGCATTCAGACTCTTTCTACTCTGCCTTCTCATCCCTCCTTTATACCTGCTTGGAGATGTTGAAAAAGGCTGAGAGAAGCCTGCTTGATCTTTCTTTCCATATGCAGAACTAAATGTACATTTGGTGTTATCTTGGTTTACCTTACTGTTAGGCAGAAAATCTATCTATCTATCTATCTATCTATCTGTCTGTCTGTCTGTCTGTCTGTCTGTCTAAACAATATATATAATGCGCAATATATTGTCAATCTACCTATCAACAATTTATTCTTTATATTCATTTTTTGCCATATATATATATATATATATATATGTATATATATATGTCTGGTTTGGTTCAGCTACCAAATCAGACATCAAGAGACTACAGTGGACAGTCAGCACTGCTGAGAGGATTATTGGTGCCCCTCTGCCCAGCCTCCAAGATCTTTACATCTCCAGAGTGAGGAAAAGGGCTAAGAAAATCGCCTTGGACCCCTCACACCCAGCCCACATTTCATGAAATAGCATTTGAAAACCAATTATGTACAATTATAAATTTTCCTTTTTGATAACTCCACAGATGTATTTTTTCAGTGGGTAAAACACTGAATGTGCCTGTGTGGTTCTCGGCCTGGAGTCAGTTGGGAAGCAGCCAGGGAAGTGCCTTAGGATACTGACTCAGGCATTGTGAATCTCAGAGCACCAGGAGAAACATTCAGCACGGATATATCCAATTTCATTCTCCACGCTGCACCGTGTGCGCTGTGCACCTATGAAAAGAAAATCATGATTTCTTATTGCGACTGCAATTACTAACTTGCATTAGGACTTAATAATGCTTCTCTGAGGGAAATGTTATTAAAGTCTTGGAACACACATAGTGAATATAACTGACAGTCATTAATCTCTCTCTGTGGGCATTCGGTAATTACTTTGCTGATTCTATCAATATAATAACACAAATATGAACAATAAAAAACACGGGCTAGCATAATTGTATACTAATTTATGTTAATTGCTTAGACTAACTAAAGCATCAGCCATTTTGAAGGCCTCACACGCTCTCTGCACTCACTGCGCTTCTCATTGGGTCACACAAAGACCCTATGTGCTCAGCAACAACTTGTCACCTTTCTGCATGTCATTCTGTATTAGTGTATCTGCATCGCTCGAGTGGAGCTAAATGAATGGGACCATTCTTCCTGTTCCCCCAGCATCCCTGACAAGACATTCCTATGTGAGGTCACACATGCAGTTGTGTGGTCAACATGTAGGGGGCGTCAAGTAGTGATCGCTCAAAACAGGACAAAGACATTCCTAAATAATTTAGAAAG